TATATATATATATACGTAATTCGGTGCTCTTAATGAACTCAGAATTGTCTGAAATTGTCTGAACTTTCTTTGCCACAGGTCCTTCCACACTCTCTGAACTCGTGCAACATTCAAGGTTTTGGGGCCTTGATGGTGGTGAATAGCTGAAGTGAAGCTCGGTACTCTGCCTCCAGAGCCTCGTGTTGGGCTCACGTTGGAAGCTCTTTGCACTCCCTTAATGAAGACTTGTATATATCTTATGCAAGGAAGATTGTTTCCCTGCTTATCATGACCGACAGGAAATAAAACGTTATATCAATACAGTTACTGTAGTAGTTGTTGTTGTTTGTGCTGTTGTTTGACACCAGGCGGCTGCAGGACATCTCTTGCATCACATGATCTCTCATCGGTTTGACCCAAGCCTCCATCTTCTGGAGGGTACCTTTGACCAGCTCCTCAGCAAGGTCTTAGATTCGATCTGGAGCAAGCACTTTCTCTAAAGATAAATCCACTGAGAGGCTCTGTTGCAAAGCGTGCAAATGGGTGGAGATTTGTGCTCAAGAAGCTACTAGTAACAAGGGCATCGCTACTACAAGTAGTAGCAAGAAGCCAAATGTTCGTCTTCTTCGATCGTTCGAGCCTGCGCTCAAGAAAAACAGACTCTCAGTGAACTACCCGGCTACCCTTCTTCAAGCTGGAAAGATACTACTTGTTCAGAGAATGCTGAAAAGCACTGACAACTCTGTCAACGATACGTCCTGATCATCCTTTGCATACCAAAGGCATGGATCGAAGCGCACCCGACCCAATCCACCTGCATGCTGTCCACCTTTTCGAGATGTGATCTGGAAAGATCCTGAAGCACCATGCTGACAAATAACTCTCGCGCCATTTGCAGAGGAGAAAGTATGGGTTTCTTGTATCCATGTTGTCCAAGGCCATCCACCTCCCCTCACAGGTTGGATTGGAACAAGGCCGATCCTCCATAAGCTGCCGACACTGGCCGCTCTCATCCTCGCCAAACTACAAAGGATCCATGGAAACAGCGGGTCTTGTTGCAAACAGAGTGCGACTTGCTGCTTGCACTTTTTCGAAAGTGAGAATGACATCCTGACTGACACATGCTATGATCCCATGCCAACAACTTCAATGGGTCTTGGGTATGATGACGCTGGCTGTCTATCAAACTGTTGGATTTTGGTCCTGCCAGGGGCGTGCAGCACATG